TGAAAGATTGAAATTGGGGCTATGTCCATTTTACAATATGGGCTATGTCCATTTTACAATATGCTAACTGCTAATTCTGCTTCTGTAAACCTGCTTGCGCTAACACTGACTCTTCCTCTCCCAGAAATAAGTAAAAAGTTACAAAGTCCAGATGCAGGCCGGCCCAGGGACAAGGTCTGCAAACATAGATAAAGAAACAAAAGAGTATGTTCTTCTAAATTCCTGTTTAGAAACTCTCAGCAAGGGGGCTCAAAATAAAGACCATCTGGTGAGCCCAGCAAACTAGGGTCAAATGTCCACCAATCACGAGCCTGTAACTATGTGGACTCCCCCCCAGGGAAGCCTCCCCCTAGAGAGCCAACTAGTTCTCAACAAGTGTTACAAAACTTCCCGGGCAGAGCTGAGCCAATCCTGGGGAGCCTGGGGTCTTATGCTAATCCTGTGGTTTTTGTCTTTAAAAGTGCCTGTAACCACTGCTCGGGGCTTCCAGTCTGCCTTGGACAGGGAGCCCGTTTGCGCAAATGCCTAATAAAATCCTCTTGCTTGTTGCAGCTGCTGGTTTGGAGTCTTGGTTCTTGGGGTGCCCTCCCGTTGAAGAAAGCATCCCAGTGGGTCTGGGGTCTTTCAGTACCACATCATCCTGATCCGCATTTGGCTAGCTGGAATCTATTTGGTATTTTATAAATCATTCCACGTGCTCCCACAGAACATGAACAGCCACATCCCCACTCACCAATGGGTTATTCTACAGTTAAGCCAATAATATCTCCATACCATCTCCATGGTCAGCTGCATCATCTTTTCAAGTATAGCTGTATATGGTTTCAATAATGCACACATGGACCACCCACAACTAAACAATTGGCATAAATATAAAATGTTTGATTCATGAAGAAAAATAATCTGCTTTGCTTTAACAAATATATTCTAAATGGTCCTTATCTCCAGAGCATTTTTGAAGAAAAAAAATGCAGAGTGGAACCATGCAACTCGGAATATACAATGACTAGGAATTATCTCACTTAACTAAAAAGAAATAAACCCTACCTTTAAACATATGGAAAACTCATTAAGCCCTTGAGGAATGTGTGTAAACTGCATAGGTTCTTTGGCATGTCGACACTGGCCTTAGCATTATTGCTGAGATTTTCTGCTCAAGGCTAGCATCTACCCATTGAGCCAAACATCACTGGTCCTTGAGATACATGGGATTAACATTACAGGGTGTTTCACAAAAGACAGTTGCACAAAGTCTCAACAGAGGCTCATTTTAGGGACTCATTTTAGTGTCCAGGTTGAAGTAGGTGGAGATAGAAAAATAATACTACATGTCCTGATCCCCAGAGAGACAAGACTCAGCCTTAGCATAGCAGCTGTGGTCTGCAAGCTTCTTTGCTGTTTTCTTATTCTTCAGTTGTTTCTGCTCTTGGCTGGTGCTCTGCCACTTGAGCCTGACACCAGTTCTTTCTTTTTTTAGGGTTAATTAGAGATTATGACTTTGTAGTATGAAGAGCAATGAATCATTCAAACCCAGTGTTATGCCTATTTGATGAAACTGATGGCCAGGAATTGATGTGTGAGGGGAAACTTCATTTCTTTTTTCTATTTCATATCTGGACCTAATGTATAAGTCTGGCCTTTTTGCTTAAACTAATATGTAATTTTCCCATTTCTATACATCTCTTTTCCCTTGGATTATAGCTACCACTGCACACATTTCAGGTTTAGATGTCTTTATCTTTTGTGCCAGTAGTAGAGTTTGAACTCAGGGCCTTGAGCTCTTGCTTATTTTCTTGTTCAGTACTTAAACATACAACTTGAGCCATGCTACAAGTCCCTGACTGTTGCTGGCTCAGTGAATTGAAAGACCCCAGACTCACTGGGATGCTTTCTTCAACGGGAGGGCACGCCAAGAACCAAGATTCCAAACCAGCAGATGCAACAACCAAGAGGATTTTATTAGGCAGTTTGCGCAAATGGGCTCCCTTCCCAAGGCAGACTGGAAGCCTGGAGCAGCAGTTACAGGCACTTTTAAAGACAAAAACCACAGGATTAGCATAAGACCCCAGGCTCCCCAGGATTGGCTCAGCTCTGCTTGGGAAGTTTTGTAACACTTGTTGAAAACTGGTGGGTTCCCTAAGGGGGGAGGCTTCTCTGGAGGGGAGTCCACATAGTTACAGGCTCCCTAATTTGCTGGGCTCGCCAGATGGTCTTTATTTTGAGCCCCTTGCAGAGAGTTTTTAAACAGGAATTTAGAAGAACATACTCTTTTATTCTTTATCTATGTTTGCAGACCTTGTCCCTGGGCCGGCCTGCATCTACACTTTGTAACTTTTTAACTTATTTCTGGGAGGGGAAGAGTCAGTGTTAGCACAAGCAGGTTTACAGAAGCAGAATTAGCAGTTAGCATATTGTAAAATGGACATGGCCCATATTGTAAAATGGACATAGCCCCATTTTCAATCATTCAAATAAGAGTCTTTCACATGTGTCTATGGGGGCTGATTTGAACCTCCTTCCTGAGGAAGGACAGGGCAGTCTGGAAGATAGAATAATTGCGATGAGCCAGGACACCTGCCATGTCCCCTGAGTAAGTCCCTCTGAGTAAGTGTTCTTTCTTCCACTGATGATAGCTTTTACTTTTCAGTAAACCTAATGCCTACGTATTTTGTCAAATACTTCTCACCTAAGGAGCTATTTAATATCATTTTCAGGTGAAATTTACTTACATATTTGCACAAAGCACAATGGGTGCGCATAAACACTGTTACAAGAAAGTCCTCCACAAATTACATTTAGTCTGACATTTGTCCCAATAGACAGAACAACATTCAAGGACATCTGGTTTGCTATGTCCAAGACATTTAGTAGTGAACCCATCAACCCATGCACGCATGGACTGGGTTCCGTGCCATCCCCTGTGTTTTCAGCAGTTCCCTGTATACCCAGTAAGTGCTCTTGGACAGCTCCAGCTCACTCTGTCTTTGACCTTACTCAGGACCCATGCGTCTGGACCATCAGATAGTACACGTAAAAAAATCCACAGTATTTAACATCCATAAATTTTACAACATAAAAATATATCTTTAATAAATTTAGAAAAATAAAAAGAATGAACATTTTACAACAATCAGGACAAAAAGAAAAAGAGCGATATCCCCAGGGAGAGGGGAGGGAAGCTCTAAGTCTAGGCCGGCTTCTAAGTTGCCTTCAAACATAAATTCTGCCTCAGAATCCTCCAAGGGATCTACCTCCTCATGAATGATTGGAGTTGCTCCTGCAATTGCCAGAGAGGCAGATTCTTTCTCAGTAGGAGATTGGCTATGCTGCAGCAGGACTGATTTATCCAGATATTCATTGAGGACAGATTCACTTTCCTGAGCTGCATCTAACTTTGGGACCTCACTTATTGGTTCCCCTGAGCACAGACTGGGGACATTTTCCATCAGCCCCACGTGTGCTACTCCCTCCAGCACGCCAGGAGGAGTGCTGATTTGACCCTTTTTGAGCTGATCTGGGCTGCCTGTGAAAGTCAGAGAAAGACAATCACTATTACCTTCTTCTTTCTTTGGGGTCCCTACAAGTTCAGCTCTGTCACATGTGGGGTTCAGAACCATTGTCTTATCCACAGGACTCACAACCTTTTGGGGCCTCACTGCAAATGCATGCAACCCCTCTACATGCACATGCTTTGTGGAGTCCAGTGATGGCTCCAGATCTCCATCCATCACCATCCTTGACATCACCGAGGGCTTCTTTCTTGGCACGTCAGGAGAAGCTGCTCTATGGCGACCAAAGCCTGAGAAAGAGAAATAGGTAAAGGAGTTTCACAGTGGTCTCTGGAGGTGGAGTTCAATTTCCATGAGGCTCTAATGGAGGAAGCTGTACAAGTTTACTTTGGACTGAACACTGATGAGCAGGTAAGGTCTTTCCCAAGAGTGGCTAAGCGCAAGTGCTTTCACCAATAGAACCAGCACTGCCTGGCAGAGAGTATCATAAAAAGACATTCTTACAACCTGGGAGGGGGGAATAATGGGCTCTCAGGCAATTAGGCTCATCCCTAGAGGCCCAGGCCCATCCCTACTCACAAGCTCTGAGGTGACCACACAGGGACTTCTTCCTCTGTTTCTTGGTCTCATTCTTCCCGGTCTCCTCCAGCTCATCCAGATGAACGTGGAGATTGAGGACCAGATCTGAGGAGGGCATGTGGAGCATGGCATAGTGGGTCAGTTCTTTCACCGGGTGTCGGTTCTGGGGCTCTCGGAAATCTGCAGGGTAGCAGTCCATCCACATGGTGAAGATGGAACAAAGGCTGCTGTGGGCAGATTGGTGACAAGAAGAGTGAGTGCCTGCCCTCCCTATCCTGGGCCTCCCATAGCCCCTTTCTGCAAGGCTGCTATATGCACACTTGCATGTTGGGTACCTGGACGAGACTCCTGCAGGCAGAGTGATCTTCACCAGACATGACTAGAAGCTTCTGAAAGATAATTCTCCAATATTCTCACTGTGATAGGTAACAAGAAGGAACTGATTTTGTACACACAGCCCTCCCTGTCATCCCTGAGAGTCCACAACCACACCACAGCTGTGTCCTCTACTACCACTCCATCCCCAACCCTCTGCCCCTAGTGCAAAGCACAAGTGGTGTGCAAATGAGAAATCTGCACTTTGAATCAGAAGCCTCAGAGATACCATATTGAACCAAGGGGCCTTTTCTTTGTGCCACAGTCCACTTACTTCTTTACTTGTTCATCTTCCTCGAAGTTACGGCCCGGGAATCTGTACCTATGGGAGGACAGGAGGAAGTCACAACTCTTCTTCTCCTTTTCTGCCTAAACAGGACACATATGGGATGGGCTCATTCCCAGACAGGAATGGAATCTGACACATAAACAAGTGAGATATATCTATACAGTTCAGTCAAATTCTTCTATGTGAGGTATATGCATTTGGTCCAAGGAAAATGTGCCAGTGGCTAATACCTCAAATTCTAGCTCATCAGGAACAATATGAGATCTGAGGTGCACAGTCTGATCAGACATTAGTCAGTAAAAGTCTAAAGACACTAATTTTTCAAAGGCCAGAATTGCACCTATGGTTCAAAGGCTGTAGTGGTAGCTCTGAGCACCAAAGAAACAGCACTCAGGCCCTGAGTTCAGGTTGCAGGACTGGCACACACACAAAAACATAAAAGCTTCAGGGGTTAGAAATATGTAAAGCCAACATAATCCCTCCCTGAGGTCTCTGAGCTGATTCAGCCTCCAGTTCACCCGCCTTCCCCACACCCAGTCTGTCTTGGGTCTACATTATTCACAGACATCCAGTTGCTAATGAAACCTTATTTCCTAATGGGAAATGCGATTTCCTGGAATGTCACCTAGGTGTGGGCAGGAGTTGGGTGCCTCTGCACATGCCTGTAATCCTAGCCCCTCTGTAACCAAGCTTCTGAGGTTCCAGTAGCTTTTCTGGGAAATGTCCTGGGCAGACCACTACTAAGAAACTAGGCAGGCTATGGACTTCTTTGTCTCATGCCAAGTTCCTATGAGAACACCCCCATGAAATCAACAGGTTCAGAGGGGTGCCAAGTATATCACAACTCAGCCAGGAAGGGCTGCAGAGCCCTGGGTTGGAAGGGGAACACTCACTTTTTAAACACAATCGCCAGCACTTGCTCCATTGTCGCCCACTGTCTATAATTGTGGAGGAAGTTCCCAACATAGAAGAGATCGCCTTTCTGGTAGGCAGGGACCAGGTTCATCACCAGCAGGTCCAGCAGGCCTGCCTCCGGGCTCCATATATTGCATGGCACATTCAGGTTCAGGGCTGACTCATTGGCACACTATGGTGGGAAAAAGAATCAGAAAAAAACATGGAAATGAGAACACTTCCAAATGAGGAACTGTGATAGAGTGGACTGAAAACTATGCAGAAAGCATTATCTCAGAATAAACAAATCACATAAGAAGGTACAACTTTGGGCTGGGTTGGGGTTAAGTAGCTTTTCTATCATGACTATACCTTGCCTGAGTTGCCTTGTGATTTCCTAGGTTTCTTTTTGGACAAATCTCTGAGATGGTTGGTTGGTGGCTTGCCACTGATCCAGTGTCTACAGCTTTGACTGAGGCACCCATACTTCTCTTGGCTGAGACCAGAGTCTCGAGACCTGCGAATACAGCACAAGAACATGTTTCTGGCTCCTGAGTCACAGGCCAAGTGAGCTGGCTTGAGCCAACTGTGAGTTACCGTGGCCTGCTGTCAGGGTTCCATGTTCTATTCCATTGTGAAGGAGGCAGGGTCACCTGTCAGGGCCAATGACCTCTGCCACTTCCTCACACAAGAAATATTCCCATCCAGCTAATATTGCAATGTGTACATGTAGACACAGTGAGCAGCACACCTTGTTTGTCTCATCCTAATGTGCTATTCCTAGGTTGTGGCATGTTCTCAACTTCCAGAAATCGCTCCTAGGTCACATTCATGACCTATCTGTCACTATTCCTCTCATCTGGCTCAAATCATTTTGCCTCTCAGGGCCTTCTGTGACTGCCACATCTTTCTGGCAAGTATTTTTGACATCTACAACCTAAGCCATTGTTTACTTTCTGTAGCCTAATCTGTTTGTCCTTGGAACCCCTCTGTGGTGTCATCTGGAGCTAATGCAAATACTTAGAAATCGAAAAAAATAAGAAGCATTGGAAAACATACATTACACTTATAATCATCCATTGTACATGTGGCCATTTTTGTAAGAGAGAAAATTATTTTTTATACTTGCAATATTCCATGGAGGCAAGCAGAGAAAGGAAGAGGTGCTGCATTGTCTTTCTATGATGACTAGGACTTGTTTTCCTATAGCTTTGAAGGAATATAGAATTTAAGGTAGAAAACTTCTCCTATCCTTTTAACAAGCTAATCGTTGATATAGTTGTTTGCCTCTGAAGTCTCTGCTTCTGTGTCCCATGATCCATCCTCCTCCCTCAACACAAATGGGAAAAAGGAATTTCAGACATTGCTGAGCTGTTGTCCAATCTCTGCATAGGAATTCAAGATACAATAGTTACTGTGATTGTGTGTGTGTGTGTCTGTGTGTCTGTGTGTGCGTGCCTGTGTGGGCATTTGTGATCTTGGACCCTTTGCCTCATCCCTGAGTATTTTTCCTCAAAGCTAGTGTTCTACCACCTGAGACATAGCTCTACTTTGACCTTTCTGTAGTCAGTTGGAGATGAGAGATTCGTGGAACTTTCCTACCCAGCATGGACATTGTTCCTCTTCAGCCTCACCTTTCCTCGACTGTGCCAATGGCGGTTCAGCTTATGGATTTCCCATCTGAGCACAGACTCAAGCCATCCTCTTCTGCACATGTCTGTTTGTGTTCCTGGAGGGGCTCAAGTCTTCTCTCAAAACTTACTGCCCAGAAAATAAAACAAAAACTTACTGCCCAGAGAGTACAACCTCTGAAACTCAGAACCAAGTGTCTTCATTAATTGGGATCACAGGCCTGAGCTATATATGAACAGCTCATTACCTGCCCTAACACACTTTTGGGGGTCTGGGAGATTGTTCGTGGGGCCTGAAAGCTGGGCCTGGACCCTGTCCCTCAGCTTTTCAGCTTAAAGCTAGGGCTTTACCACCTTGAGGCAAAGTACCACTTCTGGTTTTCTGGTCGCTTATTGGGAGATCAGAGTCTCATGGATGTTCCTGCCTGGCTGACATTCTGCTGTGATCCTCAGATCTCAGCCTCTCGAGTAGCTAGGATTATAGGCATGGGCCACCAGTGCCCAGCACATGACCCCTTTTTGCAACAGCATTTGGCGAATTTAACTATGTTGACTTGAGACAGATATACCTACACAATATATGGGAATAAATGGTATAACACTGAATTCCCCAATAATGTCTTTTACATTAATGGTTTTTGAAACAAAATATTTGAGACCCATGATATCATATGCCAGTCCTCCTGTAAAATACATTCAAATATATGTATTATCATATAGCATATTATATATTTATATATAGGTTATATATAATATGTAAATGATGTATGTAGTGAATACAGAAAATAATCCCAATTTTGGAATTTAGCCTTTCCTGTCACAATGTTACCCAAGTCTTCTGTTAGACATGCAGATTTTCATCAACAATCTCCCTTGTTAGTCATTTTTTAGTTCTTGAATAAATGAGTCTTCTTTACCACCAATAGTCTACACACAAAAATGGTATGTATCAGTGTCTCTGGCTCAGGCCTGTATTCTTTGCTAGGCAGGAGGCTGAGATCTGAGGATCATGGTTCAAAGCCAGCCAGGTCAGGAAATGCTATCAGATTATCTCCAGCTGTAGCTCAAAGTGCTAGAGTGCTAACCTTGAGGGAAAGAACTCAGAGACAGTGGCCAGCTTTTAAGTTCAAGCACCACCATTCTGTACACACACCCCCTAAACGCACACACTTCACTCGGTCCCTTCCTAAACCCTCTGTCCTCTTCACTGAACTGGTGATTGCCAGAGTTTCTGGATTTCCCACTCCAGCATGCCAACCAGCCATGTTCCCTCTGCACACGCACCTCTGCCACACTGCAGGGCCCAGGCCTCCTCCAGAATCCATTGCCCTGGGATAGAGAGCAGATGAAATTTAAGGATTCACAGAACGTGTGCTTCAAGACAGGGAGACTCAGAACTGTTCCTCACCTGGTATACAGAGACACATTGATCTATTTGTGTAGAACAATGACAACACCGTCAGCATATGAATGTTTTGACTAGTCCAAACGTCACCCTTTTCCAAATATTGTTAAATATTCCCTCGGATTTTTTTTTGGGGTCCGGTTTTGGGGCCTGAACTCTGGGCCTGGGCGCTGTCCCTCAGCTCTTCAGCTCAAGCTATCGCTCTACCACTTGAGCCAGAGCGCCACTTCCGTCTTTTTTCTTTTTGCTTATGTGGTGCTGAGGAATCGAACCCAGGGCCTCGAGCATGCAAGGCAAGCTCTCTACCACTGAGCCACCTTCCCAGCCCTCAGATTTTCTTAAATGTTACATAAACTACATATATTTACGTTAGAGTTTGCAGCTTTTGATATAATGAATGGGAAAAGGCAGCCAAAATGACTTCTTACAGAGAGAAATGCCTAGTCCAAGTAAGCTAATATGTGCAGCAAGCTCATTTCCAGACCATTCTCCAAATGCAGGCATGAGTCTCTTATTGTGTCATCTTGATATCTTACAGTCCATGTAAACCCTCATGCAGACTTAGAAAATCTTCATGAAAGCCTCAAAGCAAGGAACATCTTAAGAGCACAAAACAGCACCAAATATTTAATTCTAGCTTTAACCATTTATATGTTCTATATTTGCACAGTGCAGAATGGCTCATTGTTGGCAGAGAGCTTCAAATATGAATATATTTACCCGACTAGCTGGAAAAGGGAAGTTATCCCTAGTAAGAGGTGAGGGCTTGAGAATCAAGGGGGACCAGTTTTCAAAGACACCTGTTGTGATATAACACAGAGCTTTTGTGTCTCAGCATCAAGGGTCCTATCTCGGCACAGGCTGCATCCTCCACTGCCTGCATTCCTTGTGGCTCCCTCTAGTCACCCGTTCCTTTTAAATCCAGCAGATTTGTTCCCCACATCTAGCACACTCTGCTTCCTCCCAATCAGGCCCCCATGTGCCCTGAATATTAGATTGGACGTAGAAAAGACCAGAGTATTTTGTATTCAAGAATTGTACAACATCATGTAAACATGGACATTTTAATACTATTATAACAATAAATAGTAAATCATGACAAAAAGTAAAACAGGCATTTGCCCAGGGAGAAGGGAGGCAAGATCTAACACTAGATCTTCTTCCAAGTTGCCTGCAGGCAGGAAGGCTAATTCAGGGTCCACAATGGAATCTACCACCACACATGAGACACGATGTTCTTCCTGAGTTCTCAACTGGACACTGGTTCCATAGGGTGTCTGTAGAAATCAAAACCTATTGTGGCCTTTCTACAAATGAAAATAATCACGTTCCAGCCACACGCTTGGTGCAGTACAATGATGACTCCAGATGTCCACCTGTCAGCACCACTGACATCACTGGGGGCCCCTTTAGTATGGGTTCTGGGGTGACAGCATTATGTCAACAAAAACCTTGGAATGGAAATAGGTACATGAGGATTAGAGTGAACTCTAGAAGTTCTGGTGTGACTCAACTGCCATGAGGATGTAATGGAAGAAGCTGTAGAATTTGAGTTTGGACTGAACTTTGATGAGAAGGCAGGGTCTTTCTCACCAGTGGCTATGGCTGAGTGCTTTCAAACAGAGAGCAGACATTCCCTGGCAGAGAACATCTATGAAAAGACCCTTTGCCAAGCTGGGGAGTACTAAGAACTCCCGGCCAATCACCACTGGAGAAGACCATCGCTAGGGCCCTGTTTCCTTCCATAGCTATCACAAGCTCTCAGGTGCCTACACAAGAACTTCTCCCTCCTTTCCTTGTTCAGATTAGTAACCATCTCCTGCAACTGCTCTAGATGAACTTGTAAGTGGACGAGCTGTTCAGAGGTGGGCATGTTGTCCATTTGATAATGCATAAGTTCATTCATAGTGTCTCTGTTCTAGTTTTCATAAAAGTCATCAGGGGCAAATTCCATCCACATGGTGAAGACAGAACAAAGGGTGCTGTGGGCAGATTGGGGACAAAAAGAATCAGAGGCCACCTTCCCCACCTGAGCTTCCCATACTCTTTTCTGCCAAGACTCCCATGCTGTGGCTGTCCATCCTATAGCCAGAGTTGAAGTTTGGGAAGGGGGAGTGGACTCCTGCAAGCAGGATGCTCCTCACAACCCACTTCTAGAAACTTCTGAAGGAAATTCTGCAAAAGTCTCACTGTGATAGGCAATGAGAAGGTTGTTTCTACACTGGATCTGACTTTGTGCACACAGCCCTCCCTATCATCCCTGACAGTCCACAACCACACCACAGCTGTGTCCTCTGCCATCCACTCACATCCCAAGCCTCAGCCCCCTGCTGGAAACCACAAGTGGTGTGCAAAGGAGAACTTTGCACTTTGAGTCAGATGCTCCAAAGTTCCCAGTTTCAACGACATTCCTTCCCTTGCTCCCCAAATCTACTCAATTCTTCACTTGTTCATCTTCCTCACAGTTAGTACAGAGGGCTCTATACCTGAGGGAAGAGAGGAGGAAGTCAGCTCTATGACTCTCTTGTTCAGAACTAAGGGGAGGCCTAAGGGGCTGGCTAATGCCCAGATGGGAATATAAAAGTAGAAGGCAAATGAGACACATGTAGACTGTCCCATGAAAATATTAAGAGTCTTGAATGAGGGAGCCCAAAGTAAATGCTTCTGCCAGGTACCAGTGGCTCACACCCCTAATCCTAGCCACCTGGGAGGCTGAGATCTGAGTAGCTCAGTTCAAACCAGACTGGGCAGGAAAGAGCCATGAAATTGTTACATCCATTAACAATTAATATCGCAGAAATGGAGCTGTTGATTAAGTGATAGCTAAATTTGAGCACAAAACTCAGGGACAAATCCCATATCCTGAGTTCAAGGTGCAGGATCAGCACCCTAAAACTACAACTAAAAATAAAGAAGTGCTTCAGAGGTTTGTAAATGAGCAAGCCCAATATAATGCTTTACTCATGGCTCAGTAGGCACAGGGTGCTCAGGCCACCCCTCCCATCCCTCTTCTGGATAAGTTACTACAAGGCCCCCACTACAGCTTCTGAAGCCTTATTTACCAATGATGAATGTGGTTTCCCAGGGCCTCAACTAAGTGAGGTCTGAAGTTGGTGCCTCTGGTTCATGCCTGTAATCCTAACCGCTCAGTAAGGAGGCTGCTGAGGCTTCTGGGTTGCACTCAACCTCTACAGACAACTCCTAGACACGATCTTCTTTAGCAAAATAGGAAAATTCTGGAAGTGCAATTAGAGTGTCAGTCTTCTCAGGAAAAGAGAAATGCACCACAGGGAGTAGATGGATGGGAAAATAAAATGTCCACACTGGAGGCACAGAATCCTGGGTTTCCTAGTCCTTAGAAACTAGCCAGGTATTACCCCACTTTTCCTTCTTTCCCATGAGAAGACCCCAGGGAAACAAACTGGCTCAGACAGGTGCAAAGTGTTCCCAAGATGCAGCCAGGAGGGGCTGAGCAGCCCTGGGCTTGAATAGGGAATTGAGTGCACTTTTTGAACAGAATAGCCAGCACTTGCTACATGACCCACACAATCTGTCACTATGTGGAAAGTTTCAAATAAAGAAAAGATTGCCTTTCTGGTGGGCAGGGACCAGGTGCATCACCAGCATCTCCAGCAGGCCTGCATCTGGGCTCCATACATTATAGGGCACATTCAGGGTCAGGCCTCAATCATTGTCCCCCTAAGTTGTTAAAGAGAACGGATATTTCAAACATGGAAATGGGAGCATACTTCAAGTTGAGTAACTGTGATAGAGTGGAATGAAAACCACAGAGAAAATGACATATCATGATGGACACTTAAAAGCACACAAGAAGGTCTCCTGACTATACCTGGCCTGATTTGCCTTGTGTTTCCAGTGATTCTTTGTTGGAAAATGGTCTGAGGGGTTGGACTTGTGGCTGCAGACAGGACCAGCCTCTCCAGGCTAGAATGAAGCACCCACCCCTCGCTTTCCCAAGACCTTGCTCTCCTGAGCTTCCAAGACAACACGAGAACATCTTTCTCTGTCCTCGCTGGCTTTGAATCTTGACCCTCAGGGATCTCTGTCTTCTAAGTAGTTCAGTTCACAGGTGTAAGCCATATGAGCTCCTGGCTTTCCAGAGATTCTTATGTCCAATTAACCCCAAGAAGCCTGAAGTAGGACAAATGATAGAACAGCAGCTTTGAATGAAAAAGCTAAAGGACAGTCCTTAGCCCTGAGTTCAGCCAAAATAAATGAACAACATAGGAGACAAATAAACCATCAACAGATGTGTTCCCACCGTTCTTATTACACTGTACTTACCAGTACATGATAAACAGTAATCATTGTTACATGATCCCTATGTTCCCCAAACTATTGAATTCATCTCTGCCACACATCCCAACTCCACTGGAGGCAGAGACCTCCCACAGAGATGGAATAGGAAAATATCTCAAATGTCTTGGCCAAGCTCACTTTACCAAGGATCTTATGATCATCACTCAGGCTACTTCTCCCTGCATGCTGGTGGCTGTTGGTGACTTTGGGGGCAGGCTGATATCTGAAAGAACAATGTTCACATGCACAGAGAGGCCCCCACAACCGCTAGCAGAGGGGATGATCCCATTCCCACCCTCAGTCACAATGGCATGGTGGGGCTGTTTTGCAAGGATGCTTCTACAGTAATGCTGTGTGTCTGTGTGTATGTGTGTGTGTGTCTGTGTGTGTGTGTCTGTGTGTGTGCATGTGTATGTGTGTGTCTGTGTGTGTGTTTCCATTGCCTGGCATACATAATTGAGGATCCAAGCAGGTGGCTAAAGGTCTAAAAGAAATGATTTGGAGCCAAGCACTGGAACTTAGTGTAATTCTCCCCATAAGGGAATAGATGAAGCACTTATTATGTCATTATATATGTAGTTTATACTCACTGACAAGTAAATGAAAACAACTTGTTCATTTCCAGGGACACATTTCACTTGGAAATGTGTTAACTGATGTGCTGGTAGGTTAGATTATGGTGTGCTGGAAAGGATGTTAGAAGAAACTCTAGTTTATCTTATTACAGATACAGACAGACATGAAAATATATTTCTGCCTACTTGTACATGTGTACACTAGGAAACAGACACATATTTCCTCACTCTGTTGAAGCACAGATGCCTCAGTAGCAAGGGCACACTGGTTCTCACAAACTAAGTTATACTGGCATTTTCAGATACAAGAACTTGACACATTGTTAAAGAAAGTATTACTACGTCTTTTTGATGGAAAGCAATACAATGAGCATGTATCAGCATCAAAACCTGTAATGTCATGAAGACAGTAACTGGGAAACAAGAAATCATACACATGCTCCAAACAACAGTGATGCCACAGCCTATGCATTTAACAATGCTGCTGCAGGTAACTTACACAGGTAAAAACAGTAAAATGCAATAAAATAACACAAATTGTGTGGAAAGAAAATTAAATGAAACAACAACTACATCAGGAGAAAGAGAAAGAGAGTGAGAGAGAGAGAGTATGTGTGTGTGTGTGTGTGTGTGTTTGTGTGTGTGAGTGTATGTATGCAAGCGTGGGCACTGGGGCTTGAGTTCAGGGCTTGTCCTCTCACTTGGATGTTTCAGGGGAGTGGTGTTTTGTCATGGTTTCAATCCAGAATTTTTGCTGCTTAACTTGAGACACAGTCACATGGGCCCCTCTGCCCAGTTAGGATGTGAAGTCTGGTGATTGCAGCCTCTGGCAAAGCTGGAATTACAGACCTTTGCCACTAAAATACACTTGTAGAATTAATATATGCTAATAAAATGTTTTAAAATATGTCACCAACATTATCATAAAATGACTGAATGAACAGCACAGTGTAGGGGAATTTTTGGTTTGGTGTTGTGTATTTCCAAGTGAATTTTTCAGATACTTTAGTACACAAACACATGGAGCATAATATCTTACATGTTAAAAATGTACTACTAGGGCTGGGAAGTTGGCTCAGTGGTAGAGTGCTTGCCTTGTATGCATGAGGCCCTGGTTTGATTACTCAGAACATGAGCAGAAAAAAGCCGGAAGTAGTGCTGTGGCTCAAGTGGTAGGGCACTGAGGGACATTGCCCTGGCCCAGAGTTCAGCTTCCACAAACGACAAAAAAAAAATACTACTAGCCAGCTAGCTGTTCTCAGATCTTTAATCCAGGATACTCAGGAGGCTGCAATCTAAGGAATGAGATTGGAAGACAATCAGGACTGGAAAGTCCATGGATTCTTATCTCCAATTAAAGGTGCAGTGGTTCAAGTGGTAGAGCATTAGCCTTGAGCAGAAAAGCTCAGTGATAGCCTCCACTCTCTGAATTCAAACCCCAACACTGGCACAAATACAGATTGGTCGAGGTTTTGTGTTTGTTTAGTTTTGTTTGCCCAACAGTCCTGGCACTTGAACTCAGGGCCTGGGCTCTATTCCTGAGTCAATCAGTGCTCAAAGCTCCAGCTCTATCACTTGAGCCCAGCATCACTTCTAGTTTTCTGATGTTGTTTTGGAGATAAGTGTCTCATGGACGTTCCTGCCCAGGCTGGCTTTGAACCATAATTCTCAGATGTCTGCCTTGCAAGTAGCTACTATTATAAGAATGAGCCACCAGGGCCCAGAAATGGCTAATATATAAAAAGCTCAAAATATTTGGAAATGTAACAAAATAAAAAAACAATTTGTAAGATGCAGGTGGGTCAAGGCTTTCATCCTATTTATTCAAGAGCCCAAGAACTCAGAAACTCAGTTTAGAGCCAGTTCAGGCAAGAAAGCCTATGAGTCTCTGACTTCCAATTAACTATCAAGAAAACTGGAAGTGATCTGTGTGAATAGTGATGGAGCCCTAACCTTGAGCAAAAACACTCCAAGACAGCACCCAGTCCTTGAGTTCAAATCCCTGGATTGAAGAACCTATTTTTTTTTGCCCAAACTGAGCAAAGAAGAAGTTAACCAATTAAATAAACCAATATCCTATAATGAGATACAGGAAACTATCAAAAGTCTTCCAACAAAAAAAAGCCCAGGACCAGATGGATTCACAGCAGAATTCTATAAGACCTTTAAACAAGAACTAATACCCATACTCCTCAAGCTCTTCAGAGAAACAGAGAAGGAGGGAACTATGCAAAACTCATTCTACGAAGCCAATATCACACTCATCCCCAAACCAGGCAAAGACCCAACCAAAAAGGAGAATTACAGGCCAATTTCCATGATGAACACAGATGCAAAGATCCTTAACAAGATTCTAGCTAACAGAATCCAGAAACACATAAAAGATATAATATACTACGACCAGGTAGGCTTCATCCCAGAGACACAGGGATGGTTTAACATACGTAAGTCAATAAATGTAATCCAACATATCAACAGAGCCAAGGTCAAGAATCACATGATTATCGCCACAGATGCTAAAAGCTCTGGAGAAAATAGGAATAGAAGGAACATTTCTAAAAACAATAAAAGCCATTTATGACAGACCAATAGCCAATATTATACTTAATGGGAAAAGCTACAACCAATTCTCCTAAAATCAGGAAAAGGCAAGGATGCCCACTGTCTCCACTCCTCTTCAATATAGTCCTAGAACCCTTAGCCAGGGCAATAAGGCAAGAAA